ATTTCAGATGTTCTTTATCTTCAATATGGCCCTAATACTTCGTTTTACAAAGCAGGGTCTTAGGTACCATCATGGATTTCTTTCTTCAAAACCTCCAGGAGGTACATTTCAATGGTTATTTTATTTGTTTTCACATTGCCTAGTATCTAAATAGTCGATCTTAAAAAATTCTGCATTTGTATATAAAGTCGATTTTGTAACATGGAATGAGTGCATCACTCTTACACCAGCCCTATGTAGATCCATGGAGTCTACTAGACGAGGACGAGCCTTAGAGAAAAAAGGGAGGAGAACTGGGATAAACAGGTGACGAGATGACTGACAGGCGACATGCAACACATCGTGCAGAGACCAGACCAGAGGAGCAAGTGTTAAAGAGGACGTCGACTGTACCATGCTGTCTGTAGATGGGGGGTTTTCTATAGATATTATCTTTGACCATAGTCTCTGAAGATGGGATCAGATGCGGAGGAAAGAAAATGGAAGAAGCCAACATGGGAGGGAGGGAGAGAAAGGAAGAGAGAGAATGGAGAAAAAGAAGCATGAGTTAGCAGTTATTGGGGGATGAGATATTTGAAGAAGCAAAAGGAGGGTGCAAAAGAGCTTGATTTAACATATTTGTCATTTGTATTATTGCACATCAGAAACATCACCACTTTTAATAATTATTCATGCAGTATATTTAAGATATATTGGTCTTTGTCAGAGGAGGCGAGTGTGAGGTATTTGATACAGAACAATTCAAAGATATTCAAAGAATAATATCAGAGACCACACATGGTCCCCATGCATCAGAGAGTCTATAGATGCATGAGTTGTCTTTACAGAATTTCAAAGAAAACCATTTACCTATATTAATATTGGAAATTGCAACAAGTTAATTGAAGTCTTGATGCATTAACTGCACTGTTAAGGGAAGTGCCTCTGGAGGATAATGGAGACAGTATGTTTCCCTGAGGCCAATCTAATCCATTTTAGTGTCAGAGGATCCAGACAGGCCTCTAACAGAGATGCTTAGTAACAACTGTCACACATTAGAAACATGACTCACAATAAAACTGCCCATATGGGTCATTTCTCTGGCTTGTTTCAGTGCCTGCCAGCATCTGAAACAATATCCATATAAAAGCAATAAGGACAATGACTATGAAAGCCATTAAGTGGATAATCGTTGGCTGTTTTTTCCACTTAACTTGCTTCCAACTTGGGAGGTTTTTTTGTTCCCTCTGCATGACTGACAGTGTAACGTTGAATGGGAACAATGTGTTGGAGCAAATGGATTTCCTCTGCGAGAGATTTAAAAGCAATAAAGAACACACTGTTGAACATCAACTCCTGTCCGAACGTATATACGTTACGGTATATACGTAACTTTAATCGTAAGTGATTAGATCTTGTGCAAGATCTTAGCTTTTTCACAAAGAAATGGCTTTGTCACAATGAACAATTCAAAGAGATATAGAGAACAATCCATAAGCCAAGTAGAAAAACAACTCTCCTACAACAAAGTGCAAGGTAAAGATGCTGGGCCTCATGCAAGCTCTACTAATAAAAACCGAGACAGAAATTATAGCATTCATAATAGAAATTATTTTTGGCAAAAGTCTAGACCTGTCATACAAGTCATGTAGAGTACAGAGAGTCAAATGTTCTCCCGAGTGCGATAAACAACCGTTTGACTGACTTTTTGCATAAAGCCCATCACAAAAAACGGCACAACAATGTGAGAAATGATCGTGTGAATAGTGTTGAATTTTGTACCAACAAAGAACCAGATGATGGAGTATTTAGCTTCAAGGCACTCCCTCTGCAAATATGAAGGGAAAAGTAAAAAACATGCTTTCTTTCATCCATTCTCTGGTGGCGAGTTGGGCCTGTGATCTCACAGATGCCTTCTATCTGCCAAAACTTATAAAATATTCGCTCGAGCCCAAATATTTCCAGACTGTATTTCTCTGCTCCACTCTTCTTCTTCCACTTCACTGGGACATTAACTAAGTTTGTGGAAATGTAGGATTTAGATTTAGATTCCAAGCGTTTGATCTTACTCGGCAGATGATGATGTTGCTGGATGAAAGAGGTTTACCACCCTATTATCTCATAACCACAAATTTAATGGTTTAACTCATTAAATAATTGTTTTTAAATTATTACCCCAAGGATTTTGTGATTATTCATGAGATGTCTCCAAATTGGAGGGTCTTCATGGACGATCTGCTTGTCCCGCCCTCATGCTGTCACCTACCCAACAGAGCTTGCGTTGGATATGTTGAGAACGTTTTACTGTTAACATGTGTACCGTGAGCTGTATATTGACTTGAAGTCTGATGCTTCTGAAGGATGAGACACAGCTACAGAGTGCTGAGGTCAAAAGGCCTTGATCTGCTCAGACGATTCTAGTCCACAGCAAAAACAAATCCACAGACACCAAAGCTAATTTACCAACAGCTGTTCAAGTTTTGATTCATGTGAACAATTGAAACTACTTCTCGTGGGATGAAGCTATTTGTTCGTCACTTCTGTCACGATATGGTTCTGCAGACACGGCATGGACAGCTGTAGCAATATTTAGACTGATTTCAGATCCTGTAGTTCCAACACTGACACTGCTACATGTTGTAAATGTTGTTATGTTTTGTCTACTGACAGCGGGACTGGCAAGTTCTACACAGAGGAGTTCCACGACTTCACAAGCTGTATCTGCATGTACCTGGATAACCATAGTTCCAATTGACTGAAAAATGAAAATCTGAATAAGTAACAAAATCCATAGCTTAATACCAGCTGTATATTTTTTTATATATATTTTTTTATCACTAATAGAACCAGTGATTTGGGAAATTCATAGCTTACCTTTGAATCCACTTGACGTCACTAATGGCGGTCTACTCCATTGAACGTGTGAAGATGTATAGGAAAAGTTTAAGGTTGAGTTGCGAGCCAAGCGCTGAGGTTATGGCCTACCTGGTATGTGGAAATGCCGGGGAGCAGCCATGTATGTAGAAGTGGATGAGGGAGATTTGCCATCAGAATAGGTGGATAAGCTGGGGGTACTCCGACCACTTTCACTACCTCCAGTTGGGGATGGAGGTGGGTGGGCATTGGATATGAAAGGCAGAAGGGGAAGGGTTGGGGAGGAAACAAAGGACGTTGGGGGCAAAAAGGCAGCGTTAAGGTAAGCAGATTGATAAAGCTCAAACAAGAAGCTGTAATAGATACAGTGATGCAGGTGACTTGATAACCCAGCCTTTACTGTGTTTACATTAACTCTACTGTCTTGAACAAGTTCAGGGAATTTCTGGGGGTGAATCCCGACTGAAGGTTTGTCTTTATCTGATTTAATCCAATCACTACCACTTCTTGAAACCGAGCCTGTCTTCACACCTAACCACAGCTGCTGTAGAAGGTGGAAAGTTCAGAACGCTAATAAAACATGTTTTTCCTCAAATGCAGGAGCACATAATAATTTGGTGGTAAAAAAAAAAAACTGAGGAGCAGTATGTTTAACCTTCTTCATACATCGTTTGCCCCAGAAGTTAACTCATCACTTAACAGTTATCAATAGACAATCACCATCGAAGTGTGAGTTGTTACAGTCTAAGTTGAATTGTAGTTTCCAAATAATATCACTGACAGCGACACACAATTCATTTTTCATAAAGGTTGGTATATTATATTTTCCTCTTTGTCTGAGTGTGTAACACACATAAACATTTAAATGAGTGCATGATTGTGTGCCTGTTTTGTATCTGCGATCAAAACCAGGGACAACCCCAGTGTGTTGTCATAAGCAGGCTGGGTGATGGAGTCACTGACACCTTTGAGGCCAAAACAATAAACACTGTACATCCAGAGCTTTGGGGAAGAAACAGAGGGAGAGAGAATGTCTGTGTGTGTGTATGTATGTGTGTGTGTGTGTGTGTGAGGGAGAGTGTGAGCTGATTGAACACACACTTTTCTACCCTCAGACAGAGAGGAACCATAGACAGAGATCTGGATGCAAGTGGATGAGATCACTGACACACATGGCAGCGCTGTAAGAGCTTGTCCAAGTGATCTCCTTCAAATACACACAATCACACACACACAGACACACATGCCTGTGGACACAAACGCGCTGGAGTACGGTTAGTGCAGGTCTGACTGTGGGGCAGATCCTGCATACAAACATCTGGAGTTAAGGGAGTTTGGAAGGAGATGCAGATTTATCTGAACAGATTACACATTTGACAAAAAGAGTCAGACAACAACTTCACAGTAACAAGATATCAACAATGGTTTTGGGGTCATTAAGTGATCAAAACAGAATCATGCATTATTCATCCTTGCACGGTCCTTTCCTCAGCTCTGCTTCGAACTCCATCGTGTTGCTAAAGTCTTTCTCCCACAGTGACTTCTATGAGGGAGCCTGATAGGGCATGCAACATGAGCCTGTTGCATGAAAACAAATAGCCCTCTTTCACGGCATGTTAAGAACCGCTAGGGCCTGAACGAGGCCAACGGAGCGCTGTGTTGCATGCCACTGCAACTGGCAACCGGACCCCAAATTACAGCTCGGCCCGCTCGGGCTCTTTCATTCCTCTGTTTTCCCCCCTCTCTTTCATCTTCCCCATCGGAGCACTCCCCTCCCAGTCTCTCCACCCTGTCATGGAAAAACCGCCGAAACCCTGGACCGCGTGTTTGTGATTTTCTGTGCAAAAATGTTTCAGTGGAAGTTCATGCCGTTTTGCTCTCGGCCTCCCCCTTTTAATCAGGCTATTTCAAAGTCCATGCACACTAAATGTCAGAAAAATGTGATTCAAAGGATTCCGTGTAAAAGCGGCAAACTCAAAGCAAAGGTTCTCTCTTCCCTGAAAAAGGTTTTTACATGGAATCCTTTACTGAGGACTTAATGGTGCTGGGTAACAATTAAATATCTGGACAAACACATTATGCACCTTTATTTGCTCATGTCTTTGCACTCCACGCTAAAATTGATCTGCTCTTGAAAACATAATCCAACACAACTTGTCTGAACCGATGAGAAGTCTGAACACAATGAATTTAGCCAGATTAGCTACCATTTGCAACAAACAAACAATAAAAGCAAACCCATACTCATACCATTTTTATAATAATTTCTTACTGCAGAGTAAAGCAGTGAGCACAAACCCAGGGTAATCAAGTCAATGCTGAAACAGAAATCAGGCTTTTCTCCACTTTTTCTATGATCACCTTGTGTTTTGGTGAGATTGCCATATATTGAGGTCTCAGCTATTCATCTCTCAAATAGAATGATGACTCTGAAATGACGGCTGCAATTATGGAGATGAATCCCAAGTGGTAAAAAAAAGTCTTCCTGACAAATCCCTCTACCTATCTGCACGATGCTTTGGTCAGTCAAAAACAAGCGACTTCACCAAAGATACTTGTGAGCCTGCCAGCAAATCTCAATGTGCCTTGTATCAATCCTTAAAACACAATACAACAGCACTTTCTTCAGAATTCAGATCTGGGACAAAAGCAAGTAACATTAAAGGGATAAAGTCTGACACGTGACGATGAACAAGGGATCATTCATGGAAAGTAAAAGGATATATCAGGCAAACAGTCAGGAACACAGAAAGCAGAACAAACAAATTAACCCTAAATATTCATCCAAACGATAATGCCAAATGCAAATCGGAGTCACACTCAGGTCTACATCAAGTTAACCATGCACGACAACAACCACGTCCACAGACACAAGTGACCAGGGCAAGCAGGATGATGAAACTGTGTGGGCCTGCGAATGTACCTCGATGCTTCATGAAACCTGACAACACCACGATACCGGACAACATCACAAAACCTGCTAACCATTCCACCAGGGGAGGGGAGACACAAAGAAGAGAAAGACTACTGGTGTTTTTACCGTTGGGAGGAGGTAAACTGAGATGCAGGGCTGTCCTAGGTTTAGGGTCGGGTACGGGGTCCTGTTTGAACCCTGGGGATGAGTGGGATCAGGGGAGAAGATAAAGCAAAGGGAGGTGGTTGGATGGGCTTTTCAGCAGGGGTTACAGCGTGCAAGGGGGATGCGCACAGCACTGGTTTGTGATTTCAGTGATGTGTGGTATCGTGAACAGTATTAGCAGGTTCATGGCTTCAGATTGAAGAAAACAAACCTTCATGAGCGATCAAACATAGGTTAGAGATCCAAATGCAGCACACACCAGATCAGATATTCTATTTCCCATGACGGCTAACGAGTCTAAGGTGAACCAAGAGACCTAAAGAGTGAGAGTTTACATTACATGGTCAATTTGGTGCTTAACCACAATTCATGCCAACTCAACTCAATTCAGTGGTTGAATCACAGCACTCCATTCTTAGGACCTCTGATCTCAGTCAAATACAGAAAAGACCTTGCTGCTGTTCCTTAATCCAAGGGCTGTGCCAACCATTCAACCTTGGACTTTTGGAGCACTTCAAATCCCCTTTCAAATATTTGCTTTTTTACAACTAAACGTTTTCATTTCTGTCCAACAGCAGCAAGGATTTCAACAACCATTGTCTGTATTGGACCAGATCTTGGTCTCTGTGTACTTTTATACCTCTGAAGTATGGGATGAAGTTGTGCTGCTGTAGCATGGCCAGTGTGGTGGGGTTTAGGTGTAAAGACAAGCCTGCACTGCCACCTGCTAGTGTGGGTGAGTTCTTGTCACCACCACCACCACCTCCACTCCCTTCAGCCCCACCAGAGTAGTAGACAGGGAGGGAGGATGAGTCCCTGGCCCAAGTGGAAGGGTACTTAATGCCACCCATGAAGTTTGGGGGCAAAGGAAGAGAACTGGAGTCACGGGCCTGGTTGCTGTATCTACTGGCAAGGTATAACTCTGGCCCTGAGTGTCCAATCAGATCACAGGAAACATGTTGAGTTACAAGATACATTTGTGAATGTGAACATTTCATGTGGTTTCATTACAAAAAACTTGCAGCTGTTTTATATTTCTAAAAGTAACACTCATACTTGAGGGCATTTTCTGGATGTACTCAAGCTCAGATGCTGAGGAACAAAAAATGCGTAATGTCCAGATACGTCTGGTCTTGTCTGTTTTAAATCAGGAAATACAGAGGCAACACTTTTAGATGATCTCACTTAGCTTGAGATCATCTTATCGGTTTTGACAGTCAAATATAAAGGATTGCAGATTTTATTCAAGCATTCCTATGTATCCTATGATAAAAGCAATGAAATGTATACTTTAACTTGGATGTTTTCATAATGCAACAGTTGTAATACGACGGTTGATACCTGGTCGGCTGTAATTTTGGGGGGAACGGGATGGGGTGTAACGTCCGTAGCCTCCCAGGGAGCTGTTGGAGCTGGGGCTGGAGGGCCTCCTCTGACGGGGGGACTTCTCTCCATCGCCCTACATGCATGAAAACAGTAAGAAATAAATGTAATCTACTGAGAAACACACACACTCCTCCATCACACTATCAGACAGGAATGTGGGCATTGGTTGCACATTAATGTCATAGTCATATTTCTATACTTGGGAGGAATTACAATAGACCAAGACTGTTGTTTGTTCTTGGTATATTTGATTAACATGAAATTCATGGGAAAAAAATTCTAGGATATTGTAATTTGCTTCAAACTGCTAAAACATTAAGGATTATTCCTTTAGATTATAAAATGAATTTTACGTAACTTGTTTTAACCATTATTTCTTATTGTACAATATGTATATTCAAGTAAATTGCTGAGGTTTGTTTACAGCTGACTTACACACTTGTTTTTTGTCTTTATTGTGTTCACACTAGTCAGTTTCTCTGTGGGAGATTGATTTTGCTTTGGAGAGAACAATATTTCTATCAATGTAATTTTTCTTCATTCAGTCATTTTCAAGAGCAGTTTTGTGGCTGATTCCATAATTCATAATCCTGTGTACAAATCAGCCAACAGAAGGAGCAGAATTAGATTTCAATAAGTAAACAAAATGAAAATTACGATGAGGTTGCAGGCCCATAAGAACAAGCAATTTTATCTGGTGAAAACAGAAAACTTCAACTTTGACCTAATGCACCATGACCTAAATCCTTGAAGCACGTGAACACATCAGCTGCTTTAACAGAAACATCTGAAAAAAACAATGTCACATGTATATAACGTCCAATCTTCCCCGGTAACTTAAAAGATCTCAAACCTGCAAACCAAATACTTCCCAAGTATAGTAATAAAACTGCACTGTACACACATATACACACACATCACACTGATTAGAGGTTGTGACATGCACAGGGATACATTATATTACCTCAGTAGGAGTAGGAGAAAGTAGCTGGGGGGACTGCAAATGAAGAGGGGGAGAGAGCCAATGATTAGGACGAACTCATATGTGAAGTTATATGAGTTAACCATCCAACTATGAGAGTGATCATTCAATGTCAGTGAGTAATCAGATCCAGTGTGCAGGCATTCCTAATGGATGCATGAAATGAATGAAGTGGGTCCAACATCCAGGGTTGGCTTTACATGCTCAGGGCTGTGACTGCACTGCAGAGGAGTGGTTGTGTGAGGTGAGAGAGACTGGAGCGTGGTGTTGATGAATGACCGTTACAATGTGAGGGAGGACCATGGAGGGATAGCACAGTGAAAAATGAAAAGGTAACACAGAGCCGGGAAAAGGATATTTACGAAAAACTGCAGCAAGTAGAGTATTGAGTATTTATGTGTTTAAAAAAATCCCCTCTCTAAAGGTAACTTTAAATTTTAGATTGACGTAAATGAACAAAAGCATTTTAAGTATTTCGTATTCAGTAGGGTACTTTTCCAATGTGGGATATATATTCTTTGTAAGGTAATTATTAAATATAGCTTGGTATACATAGCAGGACATATATTCTCAAGTATAAATGTGCTGTAGTACATAAATAAATGTACTTTGTCAAATACCTTCATCAAGGAGGTTATGATTAAGAATTAAAATCTCTGTTGTCAAAATGATTTTTAGGGTGTTAAAACTAATTTGGAATAATCATATTTAGCTGATTTGCAGCTTGATTGAATTTAAGGGGAACTATTGGACGTTGGCAGAGTTATGCACTGTACTGACATTCCAGTAATTACTGGAATAGAGAGACAAGTGAAAAGAAAAACAAAGCAGAGAAGGGTGAGAAGTTGGTCTACCTCTCCGTAGTGCCTCTCCTCAGATGGGTAGCTGACATATGGAGAGTAGGACAGCATGTCAGGCCTGTCTATGTTATAAATGGCCTTGGTCTTTGGAAGGGCAGCCAGGTCCTTGTAGTCCAGCGTCTCCTCTCCTAGTTTAGCCTGAGAGCAGAAGATAAAAGCACTCAAGCATAATCACTCACTGGTATTTCAGAGCATTTACTTCTCTTTTCTAAGGATGTATGAAACAAATGCTCCGGATGATATTCAAAAACATATGATGCTGAAGTACAGAGCTATGGCACAAAACTAAGCTATATGCAGCTGCTGCCCCCTGGTGGTGAAGTCTTACATATATGACTCTGCTGGGAGAGCCCGAGGCGCTGGATGCTGGGACTGAGGTGATGCTCTCAGATGAAGTCCGGGTCACCTGTAACACACACGATTACTCTTTAATCACAGGTTGATGGAGAGGACAGAAAATGATATTATGTTTATTTATTGCTCATCCACTCAAGCTCATGCTTCGTGTGAACAGACATTGTGTTAAGATTCTGAACTCGAAACTGTTGAAATCTATTGTTTCATCTCACAAACACTCATACCACAAATATAGACCTACAACCCATTCTCACAAGGGTGGTGATGAGCACTGTTGTTTGTAAATGCTTTGTAAATAATAGGAAAAAGGGCTCTATAGCAATTATTCAAATATTTTTGACAAATCCATGTACATAAACTTTTAGGCTTCAGGCTTCTGTCAACGTGCTACTAACCGGACAATGTCTCAATGTATAGCAAGACTCAGGATGTAGTCTTTGAATAAAAATACAGGTTATTATTAAAGTTTCATCTTGACTATCTTGTATATTCAACTAAAGGAGAACAACTTCGTTCTGCTCTTTTCAGTTCTATATATTTGTATTCAGGAATTCCAGTAGAGTAGCTTTGATTCGAATCTCGACCTGCCTGCGATGCGGCCGCTCCATCGTGCCTCTGACTGAAATATTAGCTCAGCTCCTTAAATAAACACTGTCTTCTGATTGGCCAAACATGTGGAAGCCTGCCTAGGCCAAAAGTGGACAACATGAACATCTGGAGCAGGACGTGTGACATAACGGTGAATTTAGTCTTTCAATCACAATCCATATATAAAAATGTTTATATATTTGCCCCTATTGTGGGAAATGTGCTGAATTATCATTCATCATCAGTCACTGACCAATCACATCTGTCTGCTCCGCCTCACATGAGAACTGAGACTGAAACACATGGTGTCTTTACAATTTGTGGCCCATGAGTTTAGCTGCTGCTCTACATGAAGCGAATGTAGCAGTCGCTGTCAACAGTTATGATCAACCCATGCAGCAGATGTTTGTGGCTGGGGAGAGGAGGGGTTGAGTGGGGATGGGGATGGGGGCGGGGGTGGGTGCAGGGACGCACAGGAGCACCGACCTGTTGCTCAGGGACGTCATTGAGCTGTATCCGCACCTGCTTCTGGGAAGGAGAAGGGTTATGATGAGGAATGAGGATGGGAGATGGGGGAAGGGCAGATACTGGATGCAAGGCTGATGATGTAATATAGAAAAATAATGGTAGCTTGTCCTGAACTCAGTCAACTCGTCCTCCTGTTTGTTGCAGCCTCTGTGTAGCACATGATAAGCCTCAAGGTATTTCTGGTACTTTGGGAATTGAGTGCAGCCTGTGTACTTCGAACTTCAAAAAACTTCCACATGAGGTAGCTATTAAATTTATATTTAGAAAACACATTTTTTATAGTCAAGTTGATATGCAACATTTTTCCAGCTGTTTTTTGCAAACAGTCTGTTAAAGCTGTATAGGGCCTACTATAAAATATAGTATCAAGTGTGAATCGGGACAAAGCCTGATTCCAAAACAAAGCCAAATAGATCTACAGCTCTAGAGCAGCAGTTAAAAAAGTATAGAAAATTTAAAATTGCATTGGTTTCATGTTTTATTGCAGAGTTCAAAGAAAACAATCCCTGTCCAACACCTAAGTAAAACATTTTAAGAATTGGGGCTCTGTTCTCTAGTGTGGAGCTATTTTGGGCTCAAAGACAAGCATCTTATCAGTTTGGAGAAGTGTAGTGTGTGGCACAGTTCTTTTTCCCACCCACCTTACTCTTCTCCTCCTGCTTGGCTGCTTGTCTGCATGGTGGGTGCCAGATAGCAGATCCTGAAGACACAGAGGCAAAGACACAAACCGTCACAGAACATCAGCAGCATTTCACTTGTCCCTTCATACTGTAGGATGGCCATGGTGGTTGGTTGAAGTGTTTATGACTTAATACGTATCAGAGTGCATGGCTGTGACTCTGTATTCTACAAATGATGCTACTGATAATTTGTATTATGGAAACTTAAATCTGAACCTATGAAAACTAAACGTTAAATGAAGTAAGTATGACATTATTATGGATAAAGCGATAAAAATCAACTTGTACAACTTAATGAATACATTCTAAAGTGACAAATCGTAGTAGGGCAATAAGAGTTGAAGAAACTCAACCACCCGAGGTAACTGCACCAGCTGCTACTTTGAGTCAGGATCACAGCCGCAGCAAATGACATCTCTGTGAGTGTGCTGGTATGATTCATTCACTAAGCTGCTAACCCAGTTCATCAGGATCAAGAAGACCCATATCACAGTGGGCTAATGCTGACATTCAGCTGATGATGAGTGAGAGGAAACAGAGACTGCAGACAGGTGTTGGGGCTTTAGGAGGAAAGATAAAGTGAAGCAGAATATTCTGTCATCACTCCACCATTAGCTCCCGAGCTTCTCATCATCTAAGTATAGACAGTCATGTGTTTTAGGACCAATTGCTTTGTGGTCAGGCTGAAGCAGTTACACCACCTACTCAGAAAGTTTACAGCTATGATGAAAAACCTTGAATATAGAGTATAACTGATCTGAAGGAAGCTGAAACTGTTTACCTTGCAGATACATTTCTTCTCCCTCTGCAAACATCTGCTCACAGCGGGCACAGCGGGCACATGAGGGGTGGTAATGCTTCTCTCCAGCCTGTCGAGCAAGAAATAAGACAAAGACAAACAGGATATTTTGTTGGTGGGAGCTCCTCACAGGAATTATCAAAGGCCTACTCAAGATACGAAGTGTTTCATTTGCTCAAAGTTCAGGGACTTGAAAGAGAAGTTACTAAATAATGCAATGTGAAAGCATATTATCGTAACATGCAGATAAAAATATCCACAGCGAGCCCAAATAACGTCACATTGACTGCTAATTCAATTTAATGTCATTCAATTTAGGATCTAATTATCTAGTCTAGTCTCCCCAGGTACTTTGTCCTAATAAAGAGTTTTATTGAAGTTTAAGAACACGAGTCAAATCAGAGATGTAGGACAATTTCATAATTATGACTTAGATTTTTCATTATCTTATTATTTATCAGATTTTATTACATTATATATCATTCTGAATTTTCCTAGCTTTTCTTTTAGCAGGATGGATACACAGTATTTGCCCAACTACTACCTAAGCAGTTGTTGGAAAGAACGGAAACATAATATAGTATGAGGTTATGATTTGGCTCGTGTACAATGGTAAAAATGAAGAGATTGATACAACGCAGATTGTATTACAGTCCAGTGGATAACAGAGATACAACAACGGTGACTGATTTCACAGCTGAGTGCCCAAAATGATGGGATGCGCTGTGTGTCATCCGTCAGAATGCATAATGGTATTGGAAAAATGCTTTTATCTAGCACACCTAACATCTATCGTCTAAACCACAAAATGATCCTGACGTTCTTGTAAATATAAGCATGTTTTCTCCAAGACACTTTAAATGTCATAATTAGCTATTTAAAAATAGCTGATAAAGCATTAATAGGCTAATAGAAGATTCTGGACCAGCAGCTACCAAGGACAACAGAGAAAAGGTTGTGTTTTATTATTCAGCCATAAGGTGGAGCACTTGCTCTGGGTAAGAAGCGGTGCGGCTGCATTCGGTGCAGAGAGGCAAAAGAGTCCGATGAGAATTAAACAACGTGACATTGAAAAAAAAGACTTATACACTTAACTGATAATCATTCATCAGTGATTTGGCATCAGTTGTGAAATCGTCCCCTAACAATAAACTCAAACAGTACAAAAGTCTGCAGTGTTTGAACAATTGATGGAGTTGCTGCCACTTGGCTTGACATTTAGAGGCTAATGGGGGGTCACATGTTATCTCCAGAGCTTGAAGAGGAATCCATAAGGCTGTGCGAGGGGTGGGGCTTGTCGCAGTAAGAACAGATCAGCCTGTTATATTGTATTACGGTTATGGTGTTGATGACTTTTAGACTTGTTGAACCACAGGGCACTGGGATACAGAGGTCTTGAGGGATCCACTTAGTTCCTTGTATCTGAGACCTTATCCACGTTGAGCAGGGTCTACAATGGTTAATATTAAATGGTCTGTATGTCCAGCTTTTCAAAACTTGATGACCACTCAAAGCACTTTACGGTAAAGTTTTACGACAGTCACCCATTCACACACTCATACATACAGTGCATCTATGTGCAGCACCGTTTCTATGCCCAAGAACACGTCAGCATGCAGATGCAACCTTCTTGTTAGAGGACGACCGCCTGACTAACCTTTTGGATCTTCTTCTGTACATTTATTGTCTATGGGTCCCTCAGGATCAGGTGTCTACTACTGTGCATGTAAACTTTTTGTCTTCACTGTCAGTTTCGGATAGAGTTGATTGAAATGCTGGACCCAAATCAATTTGGACCTCTCCTACTGGAAGCACTCACTTTGCTCAAGGGCACTTGAGAAGAAGTAGTTGTTTGAGAGTTATTTCTTTTCCCGACAAAATTTTCCAAGTGGGTTCAAACCAACAAACTATTAATCTCAGAGCCCATTGGCTATCATCTGATGACAAATTAGGCTCTGGGGCAGCAGCCAATATTATGGGGCTTCCGGCGTAGACAGCAGATATCTGGGCCAAGAAGTCTTCTCTCTACATAAAAACACAGTGATACTTTTTGTAGGTGTTTTCGGTCCAGACGACATTTTGACTAATCCCTTTTAACAGTTAGCTGCAAATGAACGCAGATATATTTAAAAGCCCAGATGCATTTTGGTCAATGTGTTAATCATCTTTTGCTCTCCACATGGACTGTTAAACTGAAGGCAACCAAAGCCTGCTTAAACGTGATTAGTCAAACTAGAAATGGAAACCAGAAGGCGTCCAGCCCCAAATTCTTGTCCCTCGCCTACAGATTATATATATTCACTTGAATCATTTCAAAGAGATTAATGAACTATTGTTCCAAAACCTGATTTTCATCCAACAAAAACATCTTCCAGTCTGTTGGGTAATCTAAAAACCACTGCACTCCCTCAGTAGTGCCTTATTCAGTCTTGTTTTGTGTTATGACAACAAAAACCCTATTTGATAAGTGGAATTATCTCACTGTTGGCAGATGTTTCTTGTTTTAAAACACAAATGATTAATGGACTCTCAAGATGGGAGCTTTTTACGATGAAATCATTCTTTCTCTCTGTCTTTGCAAAACAATCATCTGATGTCTGCTGATCTCCACCTCCCAAGGGCATAACATCTTGCTTCAACCGCAGCCTAAATACGCACAATCCCTCTTAGGGCCCTCCACTTTGCTGCGTCATTTCAACACAGACGATACCAGAAAACAGGATGTCGACACCCTGTTTCTTGGATGACACCCTGCTTAATGCTTATCTGGACTAAATGGACAGCAGATGGAAAGAGAAGGCAACCAGAGACATGCACTGACCAGAATTGAGACTCTAGATCCTGGTATTATTGGTAGAAAAAGAGGGTCAGGTGCTTGATAAACTGGCAGCATGTTGTGGAAGCAATGCCAAAAGCTCATATTTTTTGTACTGAACTGAAACAGATAAATGAACAAGGACTGAGAGAAAAGAGGAAGTTGACTTAGAAACACTGAGGCCAGGAGATAAAGAGGTTGGAACTGGATTGAAATTCCAACATGGAAAGTATGAGAGTGCCGGAAAGGAGATAGTACTGCAATCAAATCCTTCCTTTGACAGGTTGCATGAGGAGAACATTATCATATTCAATGTCCTGCAGGACTGATAAGTCAAGGAAGAGAAGGGGTTGAGGATGGATTGGAGAAAGCTGCTGATTGGCTGTTTCTTAGAAATGGGGGGAAAACCTGGGTGAGCAGGGTTCAATGTTTGTAGATGAAACTGTAGATTTTGAGGGTTTTGAAGCAGCCGTCATAAAGAGCTGGAAGAGATCATGACATCCCTGTTTATTTTCAAAATTACCTACAGACCATGTGCTTTCTAAAAATGGCCCCGTCTCTAACGTCCATACCGTTATCTCGCAATTGCAGAGACCAGGGAGGTGATTCACTTAGAAGATTGGAATACATTTTGGCGAGCACGCACACACACAAACACAGGATATCTGTGATTCTTTTCAAGTTCACGGTCTTCACTCATTTTTTAAAATTTTAATCTGTCTGTTCCTCTACTCTCTGCATCACAGCAGAAATCCAATCTATATTCTGTTAAATCTTTAAAGCACATTGTGTTCTCATGCACACTCACGGCCTCAGTATGCATCAACTAGCTTGTTGTTGAAAAGACTATAATATTTCTTCTCGTCCTTTCCATCAACAAAACTAAAGTATTTCTGTAAAGTTTTCATATTTTAAGCAACATTTCACTCTTGGAAGGATGTGGTACGGGTCAAGGAGGATGCCACAAGATTTTGATGCAAGATGCATGTTATGTTTAAATATTAATACTTTCTTTAACAGTGTGATATATATTTCACCTGTTAAAGGGACTATGAGACACTTGGTGCAGCTTGATTTAAACTGTTAGGCCTTGGTGGAGGTATACGCTCTACTGAGGGCCATTCCAGTTTTGTCACACAGGTATTTGGGGAACTTAGAGTGAATGCACGTGTGCAACACCTAAGCCTTCAAGGAGAGTTTGTCTGTATGTCCCTTTAATTAGACAACTTGATGAATTTACAATATGGAGGATAACAAATTCAATTTATCTTCTTTTTTCAATGGATGATAAGATGTTAAATATGGCGAATGGTCTGTATTGATACAGAGCTCTTCTAGTCTGGATGACCACTCAAAGTGCACTTTACAGTACAGTTTACCATTCACCCATTCATGCACACATTCATAAAGTGGTTCTAATGAGAAACTGCAATTTTGCTGTATCTTGCCATGAAGTATGGGGAAGACTGGAATCAAACTGCCAACCTCTAACCCTCAGCCACAGCAGCCCATTCATCCATCCTTATTTCATCCCCCAAGTTACAACCCTTTCATATTCCAATCCTTCCATTATCTATACAGCTTATCTAGGTCTCGGGGGGAGCTGGAGCTAATCTCATTGGGTGGTCAATTTAGAGTCTCCAGGGAACTCCATTCTGCATGTCTTCAGACTGTGGGAGGAGGCCAGAGTACCCACAGGGAGAACAAAGAGCCCAAAGGACCCAGGCCAAACCAGGACTCTAACCTGATTTTCTTGCTGCAAGACAACATTGACAACCACTGCACTACCCTGAATAAATTTATATTAAACTTACGTATTACCTATAGCTGAGCGACAAACATTTTACACTCGGCCTCTGCCATCTGCTGACAAGAAATCTAATAAAAGAGGCTTCGCAGCAGCTACCCACACTATCTGACTGATGGGTGATTTCTGAGAAGAGCAGTGAAGAAAGGCCACAGCAATGAGAAGCCGAGCAACAGAGATGCCGACGGAAACAATAAAAGAATGTTTTGATTCGCCCTCCTCTGCCGCTGCTGCCCAGTTCCAGCTATTGACTCGATATGTCCCAGCAGAGGAGACTCTTTGAACCCATCCAAATGTCATGACATTTTGAATGCTCAGTCTCTCAGTCACTGTTTCAAAGTGCTCCTCGGTGCAGGTAGAGTGGCGGAAAATGGCCTCTAAAGCCAATACGCTGAGACAACTGTGTGCGATGGCAAATAACAAGATGCTAAAGAACCAGACCTGTTGTCAGAGTCTCTCAGAGGAGCTGCGCTACAGAAATGATGATTGAACAGTTTCACTTTTATCATTTGATATTAACTAAACATTGGGTTTTGCTTGGTTAGTTAAGCTTCTGTCCTCCATCAACAGAACATGTTGTAACCGGTTTGATTGTCACTGTGTAAGCTGTCACACTGGCCTATACAATAATACAAATACAATAAATCTTTTTTAAATACTTAATACAAGATCAGCGCTTGTTTTCAGGAACACACCTTAACACGATAGGTAATGGATGTGGATGATGTCATTGTCAGACACACACATACACACACAGAGAAACATGCTCTCATTCCATCTCTTATGTTTCTGCCGCTCTCCAGATACTGGAACCCGATAGGTGTTTATGAAAGGAAGGAATGTGAGAGTCCGTCGTGTGATGAAGGAAAAGAGAGGAAGTGAGAGAGACGGATTGTTGTTTGTCCCTTTAAGCTTGCCCTGTTGTTCCCAGGTCACGGCGAGAGCTACCAAGCCACCCCCTTCCTTCATCTAAAAGCTTTCTTCCTCTCCTCCTCCTCGCATCCTTTGCTCCGCCCAAGGAGAGTATCCCATGTCAGTTCCCTCCATCACTGCAGAACAACAGGCTGCTTCACCTGCCTCACTCAGTCTCAGCCGACACTCCGATGTCGATCTCTCAGCCTCCTTCCTGCTGTAATATCAGACTGACCACTTTGGAGGATATAGTTTCTGGTGCTTCTGGTTTGTGTTGTGTATCTAATATTTGGTCTCCACTGAAAAAAATACTATCAGGTCGTCTTTTAAGTTGAGTCTCGTTTTTGTTGGTTTTGTTTAGACGGTTATTCCAGGAATTCAGCGTTACATAAAGTTTGAGGACATGGGGGGGGGGTTGATACTCCTGTATGTTAGTGTCTGTATGTTTCTGATTCCAATGTTTTCCAAATACATCTCTTCCTCTTTAATAAAATGTATCGATAACAGATAGCAACACATAATGGCTACACCACAAATGAACCATGGAACTGGAGAGAAATGCATTTGTTCCATTTCAAATCCACTGTTTTATCTTTCCTCCCCTTTTTTCAGTGTTGAAAAAGGGGAAATAAGGGGAAATAAAAAAATCGTTCTATCTCAGCCACTGATATGACAAACCTCATTACAGTTTCATCTGTGAAATCCAGCTCAGCACCGAACTCTATCAGTGTCCAGACACACTCCTGCTGAGAGCAAGCTGAGGAATCACTGTCTCTCAACATTATAAAATTTAAAAAAACATCAATAGTAAAACAATGAAAGAAATCCACAGCAGTAGGTGAGTGACTTCATTATATGAGGGCTTAAAGTGAACACATCTGACAAGTCACTTCTCTTTCTCTTTGGTCATGATATACTTGTTTTTTTTGAACCATCGTCAAAGACAAAACATGGCATTGCCAAGAGCTCGGTCTCAAACAAAAAGTACCAAAAATTAGATCCAAGATATGAATATAATTCCTAGGATGAGTTCAAACCAAGCATCAAACAGCTGAATAACCTCACCCCAAAGTCAGGTGTTTGGCCCCATTGTGCAGTCTGCTGGATTAAATGATGTTGCTCCGATGCAGCTACAGCACCAGCATGACTTTTCACTCGACTGTTTGCTCGCCCATATGCCTTCTTTCAAGGTGTGTTTATACTGAAGCTCCCTCGCTCTCTTCCATACACTGCTCAAAGGCACACACACCGAATCAGGTCATACATGCACACATACATGACCTAACGACAGCCACGACATGGGGATGACGTGTCTTGTTCTTTCTAACACCTCCGTAATGGCACATTTATTTCCTCTAGGTAGAACATTGGACACGATTATTTCAAGAGGAGGAGGTGTGTAACACGTCTTGTATTCTCTGGAGCCGGAGCCTCTTTACATTTATGGCAGGGACAGAACTGCAATAGCAGACTGGTACCTAAACGTGAGCGACAATGTAAGGATGGCCCGCCTGAGGGAGGGGACAAGGAGAGGTACAGTGTGTGTTCACTAGAGAGCGAGGTCAAATGCAGAGCAGAGAAAGATTGTGCTGAATAGCTAAGCAGGGCCAACACTGGAGCAGATCCCGGCTGGCTGGCTGGCTCTGCCCTGTGGACCCACACACTGTAGAGGACAGGAAGCCGCCCTGTGCACTCTCGCCTTTCACACTCATGGAAGACTTTCCCTACTGATGATGTCAGTGTTTGAAAGATTCTACAGTTACACATGACAAGGAAGTGGTCTCAGATTTGTGCATAGAGGGGTTCATCTCTCATGTACAGTATCTGCATTAGCAGGACATAAGACCTGGTGACATTTTAAAGACAGCTTTGGTCAAATGGAGGACATTTTGGTATTATTAGTAAAATAAATTGCTGGATCCTACACTTACCATGATAATATCCATGAATCTATCATTACTCCATTCATTCACCTGTGTCCCAGGTTCTAATTCTACACCTCATCTGCTCGTCCATCTGCAGAGACCGTCCTGGATCTGTTTGAGGCACACCATGCTAATTAACAGCCAGGCAAGTAAAATGTCTTCGGTGAGTTACCTCCAGGACTTTTCCAGTGATGTAATTCTTGCAGCTCTCACACTGGATGCCGAACATGGCGTGGTAGTCCATCTCACAGTAGGGGATGCCATCCCTGAAAGGACGAGCCGAGGGTGAGACACAGATCAGAGACAGCACAAAGACTGTGGCCATTTTACAGCAAATACAGTATAAGATCTGTAGGGCACAAGATTTCGTCCACTGATCTTTAATATTTAATAGATTTCATTGAACTGTGAGAGAGTACACAATTCTGAATTTTTTTTCTGAAACTGTGGTTATGGAGCAACCTTAGCATTAATTTGGAATCATGTCTCTGCCCACTTGGGGAATTTTACCCTTGTTTTTTATCCTCTCTCTATATATAGAGGCATTGACTGTTGAAGCAAAGCATATTAAAGACTAGTGGAACAACCTTTCCAATATCAGTCTACATTAGTATCGGGCCAATCACGGGGCCTGTGTGTGAGAGAGCTGTGGTTTCACACACGCACTGCAACCATGAACTTTTCTTGACACTAAACACAAATTCTGGAATTGGTTAAAACATTTAACAGACACACATTACACAGATGTTACCCTGGCAGCTCCCTCATGAAAAGTCCAACTGAGCCGATGTGTGAATAAAGCTGGCATTGTTCGCTGTGCATTGATGATGTTTGTGTGATTTTTCTGCTGAGCGCTGCACCAAGGCGCCACAACTCTCCTACACCACACAGTATTTCAGTTTCTCAGGACATTGTTTATTTGTGAAAATAACTACGATAAGATAGAGGTTGTACAGCTTCAGATATTTGTTTTCTTTTTTTCATTTTTGCGTCTGTCAAGTGTTAGAAATGTCACCAACACACTGGCTGGAGAAACTGCAGACTCTCACTTGGACGTCTGTGGTTACACTTACAGATCCACTGGAGTTTAGGGTATTTCAGAACGTAGCTTATTATAATGTGCTATATAAATAAACTTATTTGCATAGCTGACTTACTTGCTGATGTACTCTGCATTGAGCACCTTGTTGCAGACTTTACACTTGAAGCAGCCCAGGTGCCAGTGCTTTTCCAGTGCTACGAGAGACTGTTCGTTCTTAAACTCCTTCCCACAGCCGCAGCAATCTGCACACGGGACAGACAGATGAAGGAGACAAGATGTGATAAGAAATGATACTGAAGATGATTTTCTCTGAATGCAGTGGTTTCCTCAACACTACTTTGATTTAAATGAGTAACAGAATCAAAAGAATATTGTTTTAGTATCCTGAGAAAGAAAGGGCGAATTTAAGGGATGGAACAGAAAATTAAAAAAAGTAATATTGAAAAACACAGTTTGCAAGTAAAGAAAGTCTACTTGGCATGGTTTCTGTTTTAAAAAAAAAGACTAAACAGGGAACAGACAGGGACATAAACAGAGTACTGACTGTGGACAGCCTGTATGGGTGCAGGGCTGTTGGCAGGGAGAGGCTGGGTACACTTTTGGCAGATACACTCCTTCCCGTTAAATGTCACTCGGTCGCCAGCCGGGAATGGCTGTCTGCAAAAAAAAAAAAAAGAAAACAGATAGAACATCAGATGAGGTCTCTGAATGATTTGGTTCGTCCAAAGGGTTCAGTTTTCCCAAAAGTTTTATTGTGAGCCTCAGAAACGAGACTCAGGGCGTCACAGGACATAAAACACTGCTTAATTAATAACTAACCAAACACCCTTCAGAGACAAATACCATCATAACACTTGAGAGACATTACAAACACAGTGAGGAAATGTTAATGTCTCCTGGCTGTGCACTCTGCTTAAACACAGAGTGGAGTGTAGAAGGACTAATGATTCCCTGGCAGAGGGAGACTCTAACTGGCCGCCACCTGCAACTTCCTACAGCTCTGAAAAGTGATATCAGAGCTGCAGTCACACTGTCACAGCCAGCTTCTGAGGGAGGAATGCATCCAGGCAAACTGGGAGAGGCAGGATTATAGGTGATTCATGCAACAGTTTATTTTTTAGGGTTGAGATGTTGATGTTGCACAGCTTGGCCTGTATGTAGTGTCCCTGTTAATTTGCACCAGCAGACATAAATCTCCATCCCCCACATGAGGTAGTTTGTTGGGTAATGGTTTTATTTTTTTGAGGAGAGACATCTTGTTTCTATGCTATCTAACCTAATATCTAGGTATTTGTAATAATGTACAGTATGAAGTGTATTTCCACAGAAAGCAGGCTTCAGTTGAGGAACATCACTGCCTCGTCTGTGGTAGCAGAGATGACAAACAATATGACTACGTCCCCCCATGTGACCCAGATCGGATTGTTTAATGACAATCCGATATTTTCAAATCAGTTTTCATATGTGGTTCTAAATCAGATACACATCCGATTTTTTGAAATGCGACCTCAGTCTGAACAGCCATGTGACCCGTATCAGAATTCAATGTGACTTTGACGTAACTCTAGAGCGACATTCCTCAACATTTTGTGCTTTTTATTCTTCCGTACACGCTGTTTAGGGGGCGGGTATTCTCATTTTCACATTATTATCATTACACTATGTATGCACAGGTTATTTTTTCACAGTGTAGTCAGGCGTTAGCATGGAGAAAAATCCTAAATCAAAAGAAACACACACACCCAGACGGAGACACACAAAGAAACCCAGACTAATGGTGAGAAACAGACAGATTTGATGGAATTATTGATGATCAGCTGATGTCCCATCTCCATCAGCATTTCCTCTGCCTCTGCTCCATTTTTGTATTCCTCACAGTGTTTGGCCGTCACAAAAGCCGTGTTTGTTTAAAGGAGGTGTTCAGATGTTTGCCGATCACATTGCAAACCTCAAATGCCACGCTGGAACATTCTGATCTCAGGCATGGGGATCACCGCGGTATGATAGGACGAACCCACACACACACACACACACACAAAACACTTGCTATGGGTATGTTCTACGTGGCCACACTGAATGACCACACACTTAAAATTCCTGCCTAAGAGAGGCTCCCATTACCTTTCTAGTGCACACACACATAGAGCGCAGTCAGTAGAAGCATGCACATGGATAGAAACAGGTGAAGATGACTGGATGACTTTTACTGACCTGTGCCTTCATAAGCTTCACTATATTTAAACATGTATGTGTGTTATAGCTCTATGTACTTATAAATTACCCCTATACAAGCTGCTATGCTGCCGATAATGAAGCTGATGAAGGTACATGAGTTTTGAGAATAGTTAGTGTGGCTGTTTCTATCGTACATGACATATAATGTAGGATTTAAATGTGTTGTGAGACCTGTAAAGCCCTGAAGACACTATAAATCTATGAAACAAGTGCTCTGCATGAATAATGAATAGTGTTATCTTGTCAGAATCTGGGTTTCAGACATTCCAACAAGCACTTTGGAAACACATGAATGCTTCTGCAAAGCACCGACACATCATTGAATGAGAATGGCACTCACACAGGGTGCATTGCTAAAGCCCAGCAGTCAATCAAGCAGCACCAAATTTCATAAATGTATAGATATCAGTTCCCTACGTGTCGAAAGGTCGAAATGTTGAAAAATGCCTTTAGCAATTTTAAACAAAGTTTAAAATTGTGCTGTTTATCAAGTGTTTGTCATTCTCTGCTCATAAAGAAGATTTGAAAACCATAATAATAATTATTAAAATCATAATCTGACATTTGTCATGTAGTATTGATAGCAAATGTTTACGGGGAGTTTTAGGGGAAATAAAACATCTGGAGGGAGATTTCAAATGCTCAGTAACAGAGCAGAGAGATGGATGACAGATCTGTCACATCCAAAGTTCAGGGCTCTTACTTGCAGGAGGCGCAGACAAAGCAGCGGGGGTGGTAGGTCTTGCCCAGAGCGGACACCACTTCCCCCTCGATGAAGTCCTGGCAGCCGAAGCAGCGAGTCCCGTACAGTCGCTGGTAGTCCAGGGTACAGATGTATTCACCCTGCCGCACGAAGAAGCCTCCCTGGGCCAGCTCGCATCCACACACTGGGTGGTCACATAGGGAGAGGAGAAACAAAGACAAAGGGACAAAGGTTATAAATTTGACCACACTCATATCAAAAATATATCTACATTTCATTGTATCAATTGCAGCAAATTGAAAAGGACAGGCAACAGCTTTGGTATTATCTTTATTCTAGTTCTGTCTCTTTTTAATTCAGCTTCATTACCACTCGTACAGTTTCTCTTTTTACCCACACTGCCTGTTGTGAGATGCATAAATGAGATCTTCACATCAATATCCCAACACTATTCATGGCTATGTCATATATTTGTATGTGAGTTTTATTTTTATGTTCCTTATATAGTTCAACATTTGGGAAATATGCTTTCTGTCCTTTCAATATGATGCTATAAAGCCAGGAGATGGTTAGCTTGGTTTAGGATTAAGAATGAAGGCAGCTGATCTGACTCGGTCCAAAGGCAACAAAATCTACCTACCAGCAACTCTTGAAACTATTTAACACATCTTGTTTGTAAAAAAGCCGCAAACAGCAAACAAAATTGTCCCACACATAACCCCCCAAAACGCAACTGCTTCTTTATGCTAAGTTCTTATACTAAAATATTAAATGTACACAGATGCAGTGAACAAAGTACTTCAGTACATTTTGCATGTATCTGTACTTCACCAAAGTAGATTTAGTTTAAATCACTTTTCACTTTTTCTCCACGACATATATCAGCAAATATCTCCACTACACATTACAATGTTTACATTCATAGGAGGTATTTAGTAGAAAGAGTTAGATATGTATTGTATTGTAACAAGATTTATGAGATGTAGAGATCTTGAATTTATTATTGGCAAAGAAAACATATACGAATATTTTCCTTTCATAAGATTTGATAACACTTGAAATAACACTGTGTTTGTAAATGTATGAATATCACAAAGGTCAATATCTTACATTTTACAGCCTATTATAGTCAAATTTGAATGTTTTATCAAATAGTCTGCTATTACTATCAACATCCACTCATCTGTCAACTACATCAGAATCACACAAAACACATTAACAGAAGAAAACCTGCACATAGTCATTTATTTGGAAGTCAAAAGGAGCGGGGGCTTTGTTTTCCTCACGCAATAACATCACACAGAGAATTATTAGCATGTGTACAGGCCGCGGAGTGGCTGTTTGTCCAGCTAGAACAATGTGTGACAGGAACTCCAAATCGTCCCTCTCCTGAACACACAATGATCACACGCCGTAACCACGGCAACTGCATGACATCACACAGCGGCCACACCCTTCGGTGGAAACCTCACTCTGTTTTTCCACTCCTTTAACAAAAACAACACCCCTCCTTTCTTTTCCCTCCATTCTTTCTCTCCTGGAAAAAAAAAAAAAATGCCGGGAAAGATAAATGAGAGATGTTTGCGCTCGTCCCCTGGGACTGCTCAGTGAACTTTTGACACACACATACACACACACCGTCTCCAACTAAGAAGGATGTGTGAAAGTATGAGATAAGACAGATATGAGACGGATGAGATCACACACACACACACACACACACACACACACCACATGTGCTTTAGAGGACACATACTGAACATCCTTACTAGAATGCGAGAAGGTATGAGGTGACAAAATGTGAATGACATAACACACGCTGTCCAGAAAGGGGTCAGACACACCCAAACACACCTGCTGCAGTGCCAGTGGGTTTCCCTGTTCTCATAAAGGCCTGAATGTAATAAATGTATAATTAAAGCTAAACCAGGAAACCAGAACCACAACCTAAAATTAATTTCAATCCACTGAAACCAGTGAGAGACCGATCCAGCTTGTGTACGGCTCATACAGTAACCAGGCAAATATCAAATAAGACAAGACAAGATATCGATGTTAGTGATACTGAGCCGCACAAATAGCAACGCAACTTCTATATATATCACATACACTTCACCACAGCCACGCTGTAGCTGCTGTGAGAGGCTCCTCTGAAGAAAAACAGTGTGGAGTCACAGCCACTCAGAATTCTCAAATGTAATATGGTTCACCATTGGTCATTAAAAACATATATTGATTGTGATAAATCTGTGCCTTTACTTTGATGGGATTAAGGACAAATCCTGAAATTGGGCTTGAACCCTGTGGGTTTTGCAGCTTTTCATTTCCACCAGCAATTTCCTGCTGAGACACTGCACATCTACTGAATGCATAGTGTGGGATAAAGCTTATGTCTACAGAGATTACAGGGAATTTAAAAGTGACAGAAAATGTCCACTGGCATATTAAATGCAAGGTTTACAATATCTGTGATGCTCTTCTCTGGTCTAAATTCACATACACGAAAGTGAAAATTCAGCATTTCACTTTTTCCGACTGGTTGCATAACAGTCCAACTCTCCCATCCTTTCATCAACTTGTGAAAACTTTGAACGCCATGTTGGATAACCTTTGTCCCCGGTTGGGCGCCACTTGACTTTTTTTTCTTCCAGGGGTTACGGCATGCTAATAAAACAACCACAACAATATAAGCAGGAACGTTTTCTCAGGAAAAGGACAACATACTTTCCAGGGGCTGCTACTGGCACCCTTGCATCCGGTTCAGATGTTTTGGCAACCTGTTTAGAATGAGATCATGTTCTGAGCACGATGGAGTAAACATTAGCAGATTTAAAAGCTAAGTGGATAGATGGACGGACAGAGGGATGGATGGCTGAGATACACTTAAAAAATTATCTTAATTGACTTAACATGTGTAACACTTTTGACAAACCTAAGACTTGATGTGCACTTACACTGAAACACCTAAAAATTAGACGTGTCATGAGGACCTGAGACTTAATTTACATGAATTGACCTGGACTTCTTCTAAATGCCTTAAGAACAGACCTATTATTGTATCACTGGACTTGGTTCAGATGACTTGAGACTACCAAGGCTTACTCTGACAAGCTTTCAACTTTATGTGAGACTCGTCCCAAAAGAATTAATACGCTGTGGCAGAGATAAATAAAGGAGTGGAAGTTTGGAGACAGAAATCCTCAGCCGGAGTCCTGAGTGCAGGTTCCCATCAGCTCGTCTTTCAGTCCTGTATATTTATACATGTGCTGCCAGTTGGCTCATATACTCCTCTCCTTACTGTATTATAAGTTATAGTTCCTTCGGTAGTTAAATAGTGGATCCACATGAGCTAAAGTTGCAGCTATCGTTTATGGACCACCAGAACACATTAACTACATTTAAACCTAAACATTTAATATCATTATTTTTATGTGCAGTACAGCAGTATGGTGCATATTCTGCAGACAAGTGAGAGGAAGGCAAACTAGCATCTTATGCCGATCAGGGAGCGTGTTTGTCTGAGTGCATTATATAAGTCAGAGGAAGACAGAGGATGCTCTTTTCAACTCGTCCTTCATCACTAATGGAAACCGTCAAATTGGTCTTCCTCTCATCCCCTAATCCCTCGTTCATGTGGGAAAAGGAAAGGAGCGGTTGGAGAAACGGAGCAGAGCCGGATGGAGTCGAATAAATTGAGTTTAATCGAGAGAGTGAAGTTCACTGTCATATACACTCTTACGGAAACAAGAGCTCTTAAAGAAACGTCAGAATAACCAAGACAATTCTTTACTCAAATATAAAACTTTTTTTTTTTTAGCTCTCTGGAGTGTATCATATCAAATCCAGTTATCCAAAAAGAAGAAATTATAGCTAAAACTAGCTACATCCTCTCCTTTTTTTTAACATTAACCAGCAAAAGACTAGTTAGACTAACTAGCTTCCTTTTAAAGGTTAATTGTGTTAGATTTATGTGAAAGGGATCTACTGGCAGGAATTTAATAGATAGATAGATAGATAGATAGATAGATAGATAGATAGATAGGAAATTCAAGATCTATATAAAATAGATAGAGAATATAAAATAATCCTAGTTTTACTAGTGAATAATCATCTAATTTGTATGAATTGTTGTTTTCTTTACCCTAACATGGGCCCTTTATGTTTAAACACTATATATGACTCAGCATTAAACCCAGTTCCAAGCAAAACTCACAGTCACATTCTAAGCAGCAATTTCATCATTTTGAAACCATTCCGTCTCCATGACAACAGTGGGTGTTTGTGTTCACCCCGCACTCGGGCCTCGGCAGATGAGATCATGACGCAGCCAATTAGTCGTTTTGTCCCGAGACTCCGAGAACAGAATGTGTCGGGCTACACGCCTGCAGCAAGAAAAAACCTTAAACCACAAGAGGGTTTAACATCATGCAGTCTGGGTGGGTGGCTTTAGGGTGTGCGTATAAATTTGGGTTTTTAGTGGAAGGGGGGGGGGGGTTCTTTGAGGGCAGTAATATCCTGTGATTTTCCGCAACAACATGACCCAGCAAGTTTTTGATGTAGCTTCTGCACCAGGAAAGTTTAAAAAAGCAAAGAATCATGTCAATGCCACTCCAACATAACTGCAGGTGCCTCTCGGGTCGCCCCTGTAAAGTAGCAGCATTCAGCAGTGGGACCATGATTGCAACATTTTCCAAGGCTGGAAGGCAGATTGCTTCACAGAAAACTGATTGCTTCCATCTCTGAGGGGCTTATCTCATGCACTATGAAGCCACTTACATAATATGCGTGTACTCACAGAGCCTCTCATTGAAATCTGCTCCGTCCACAATGGAGGATGCATTCCGCGATTCCTTGAATTCAACATGCAGAGTGAATGAGGGGGTTTACTGTGCATGCTTGAACGGCCGTGCAACAGAATCGCCCTGTTGTGATTTGTAAATAAAATATGGTGCAGCTGTTTTACTCCCTTGCAAACAAGATCTAAAGAGGAAAGGGAGTCAGTGCTTTGAAAATGATACAAGAAATCTATGTGGTAACAAACCAAATCTTGCACCATGGTTGCCTGGTAACATTGTGAAATTGTAAAATCGGGAAAAAGATAATTGGGAGGTGCAGAAGGAATTTTAAACAAATCTGCTGCGGTTTTTTTTTTTCAACACCAGACCTGGATCAAGTCAAGAAACA